TCGCTAGTAAATCAACCACACTACACTTTCAGAGTCATACAAAAGTAAGAAAAGACAGCCTCAGAGATTAACATGATTCCAAGTATTTATACGAAAAAATGCCATACTGGAAGTTATAAATTATTATCAGACAAGTAACATTTTTCCATTTAACAGATACAAGTGAAAAGCTGCTCTGTTCAGAATCCAATTCTCAAAGAAAGGTGGAGAAAAGATATGATGACATCATTCATCTTCTTGTTCTAATTTCAGCCGACTCTACAACTTTGCTTTAAACAGTACCGTTTGGAACTAAAAATATGACTTTCTTAATTCAGAGAGCACAGCAGGGCGCACGAACAGTTATATAACACTATGTAGCATATGCCTGCTATTATGGCAACATCAATTTTAACCATAGATATAAATATTCTTTTTTACTTCTATATGAATTAACTGTCCTGGGTAAGTAAGATATTGCAGTGCTTGCAGTGTGAGAACCTTACCAGTTCTTGTTTCACTGGATGTTCCTTTGGATTGACTCCCTGGTTAACCAAGTATACTACAAGATAAAAAAACATTATGTTTTTGAATCTGAAGGCTGTCATGACTGAGGACCCCATAAATCACTCACATAGGAAAACTAATTTCCACATAAACCCATTAATAACAATTAGTAACAATTAGAGTTAACTGTGTAAAAGTATCTGATGAACTATTATCATCAATATTGCAGCTAAATTAAAAAAATCTAACATAGTTAGACTTAATGTTGCTAAGAAAAAACAGAAACATCCTCATGCATGTACAAAGTCAGCTTTTGTAAATACCTATTTTTGATTTGGAGTTCTAACATCATTTACCCTACAAATGGCAATAATTTGGATTACAAGTTTCTAATTATTTTGCTATGAAATATGATTATTTAACGTTTGCAGCTGTCTAGAAGGTGTTCAAATGGCATCATAAAGAGTGCTTTTTCCTCCTACCACATACTTACCCCAGAACAATGAATTTAACGTGTACACTGAAACCAAATCCAGCTTTGCTTGCTCCAGAGGCTCTAACTAGAATGACAAAAAAAACCAAACCCAACACATTTGCACATTTTAAAGAAAGATGTGCACAGATCTTAGTAATATGCACAATTTATAATTCATAAAAAATTCCCACACTGAATAAGGACATTTTTGCACCACAAATTCACTGAGACCATGTTATGCCTATTTCTGTGCCATCACAGAGCCATTCTCTCCTTTCCAAGTATTCAAGTCATTTTCCCAGTCTGATGCCACAGTCCCAAATGGCCTAAAGCACAAAAATTTCTTGGCACATAGCTCTTCGACTACTGTTCCCATAATCAGAAATAAGTCCCTGTTTTTCCACAGAAACTTAACTCAAAATAGTTGTTACTATCAATGGAAGGGGGAAAAAAAAAAATCTTAAGATTGCTGAAGCTCAAATGTGAATATAGTATGCTACAGTCAGTCAATGAACATTAACACTACACATGGTAGACTGTGTGTTCAGTGCATGCTGGAATACTTAGGGCTGTAAAGCAAAGTAAGAATAAAGGTAATGAGGGTTTTTTTTTTTTCCTTGACTGTCAAAGTCAATTTATTATTTTAGTCCTATAGGATTTCCAGAACCTCTGATAACATCATTGTACAGCTCACTAGTTCTAACATGGATACTGTCAAAAAATCAGTGTTGTCAAGACTGTTTTCTTCATGATTTATTTCTGTTAAATCCTCAGAGGATAAAGAAGTTCCCTCATGTGCTGGCTTTTTCTTGCCCTAGAGAAAGAAATTACATATTAGGCTTTACATGTTAAAAGATAGAGAGGCTTGTATGAAGTCTTCGGGTGGTACCTTGCTCTGTCTGTATGCCCTGAGCAAAAAACACATTTTACAGACTTACGCTTATAACATAGCTAGAGGAGACAGCTCAGTTTTTCAAGCACCAGGTTCTGCAAGTCTAGACTTCTAGAATCAGATCAATTCTCAAAGCTGTCAATTCATCTTTATATCCTACTGTGTATACAAAGTTCCATTAAGTTTGTTGTGAAAACATCTCAGAAAAAAATGTGAATAACCTCTCCATTATGAAAGAGCACTCAGCATGCACTTGAAGGAAAGTCAGGAATAAGCTAGAATGTCCTCTGCCTAAATGACTCACTGGTAAAATCATCACTTTTCAGCTTTGAAAAGCATACATTTCATTGTTTAGTTTGTAAGATCATACAGATATCTTAGAAATGTAAGAATTTCAAATATTGGGTATCAAGCATAGAAAGTGTCATATTTATAAATGTCTGTGCAGTGGCCAGGCCTAACAGACCCTTTTATTTCAGTTGGGGTTCCCAGATATTCTTGTATTAGTAATAAAAAGGTTGTCAAAAGCAACATAACTTACCTTTTGGAGGTCACTCCTAGAAACCAACATCATTGCTTTCAGCATCTCATCTACAGAACCAAGACATTGTTCAAATGCTGCAAGATAATCCTGAATTTCAGTGGGGTATTCTTCTGGGTTGGTATAATCTGACATTTCCATCTGGAAAGAGGAAACAAAACTAATAATCATTTTCTTTAAGTCCCTACAGAGCCAAAAGACTTTATTTTACGATACAAAGCATTACTGCACATTCATTAAACATTATAAGAAATGCCTATTTCTGAAGAGTTCTAGCAGGTAATGTCAACAGAGACACAGTTAAAGGTCCTATAATTTCATGGGTATCGCCTAACTGCTGTGCAAAATGGCATGAAGGAGCATTACAAATGACATGACTGTAGTATCTACTCTTGTAACAGTCCCAAACCAGTATTTAGCTTTTATGGCCTGTGATAGAATGAAATTATTTGCTTGTTTAAAAGAAACGCTCTATAAATCACAGTATATAAAGAACTACACCAAGCAACAAGCAGGACACTAAACAAAGACAAAAACAGGGATATGGCTTCAGCCTGTCCTAGGAACAGACATTACTTCAGCTTTAAAGCTGTTACGCAGCACCAGTTATGTCAAGGTCAGTTAACATCCTCCAATGCTAAATTTAGGAGTTGGTCCAAGAAACTCTTCTTCCAGTTTTCTTAATTCTTGATGAGGTATTATAATCTGCGATGTAACTCTACCGGTAACAAAGATGAGCTGATTTGGGGATTTCAGAGTACTCTGGAAATCTTGTAGAGACATCTATGCACAGCAACTGTGAGATAAGCAAAGAGGTGAAAAATCCCAAAGCACTCCTTTTTGATCCCAGCATTCATGGTAACATGTTATGGCTACTGCCAAGCCATCTGGCTGCTGGCTTACAACTGATACCTTTAATTCCTCTCAAATCATAAATCCTGTATCTTGAGGGGCCAATGTTACTCATATATCCTTTCCTACAACTTCTACTGATTGAGCAACAACTTTGGGAATGTTGTCAGAAAAAAGAACATAATTTTCATGCCCACTGGTGAGCTACATCAAGGACAGTGGGAGCACCTGGATCACTGCAGTCTTTCCTACTTAGGATCAGTGTAATCCCTCTACCCAGCCATTGAGTACAGAGGGAATGAACATAAGTTGGAGAATTTGCACTTTGTCTATGAACACCAAGCCACACAGTCAGTGCAATCACCAAGGAAAGAGCAAACTGTCACCTCACTGGAGTTTGTTCTAGATAACGACTTGATCAGTCCCTTTTCCTGGCAAGAGCATGGTATGTGTGAGACAGGTTTCTTTTTATTTATATTGTCTCCTCACAGGAGTAAGGTTGGGAGGAAAACCAGTGTGAAGCTACTCAAGCTTTTCTGCAACTCCAGTTTTAACCACACTGCTGTGATTCCAGAAATAGGATCAGCCAGTTAACAAGCCCAGTTTCACTGTTGCTGTTGGCATAGTTAAGAATTTTAATCCTACTCAGCTGTGTGACTTATCATCCTGGTCAGAGGTGGTTTTCAGATTGAGTACAGAACCACAATGCTAACCATGACATTTTGAAGGTTCCCTCCCTACCCCAGCATGGAACTCACACGTGTAAATACTGCTTCAGTCAGCTGGAGAGGACCCAAGCAAGAAAGCTGAGCTGGACCTACAAAATGGTACCCACAAAAAGGCAAAATACCGATACAATAATTTCTGTCATTTATGATCGTATCGTTTGTATTTCATTCTGTCCTAACCAGGACATAATCAACCCTTCTTAGGTTGATTGGAAGTGTGGAAACAATGTTGATAAATTTTAGTCATATAACACAGCATAAAAAAATACTCAAAGCTACAGAAGAAACTAGATTTTCCCAGGTGTTAATAAAGTTAAGCTTGGTTAGAAGGTGTCTGTCAATACACATTTACTATACTTGCACATACAGGAAGAGAGGAGCAATCCAATCCAGTCCTCTACAGCGTTTACCATCACTGCCATACTTAATCTACCGTGGTCTTAATTTGGTGGACAGGCATGAACATAGTGATAAATTCCAACTTTTCTCTCTCCCTTTATCAGAGAATCAACACCA